AACATTTCTGTTGGTTTATAAACGGTTATCTTCATGCCAGTTTTGCATCAAAGTTTATTAAAAAAAAATTTTGCCAATGCAAACAGTGGCAGTAGAATCTAACAAGGTTGAGTCAGGTCCTCTGGATGGATTCTTCTTTGCTGAAACGTTTCATCTTTTATCCAAAAGACTTCTTCAGTCTGAGGAGCTGCAAAAAAACTCAGTCTTATAAATAGCACCTTCTCAATAGTGGATCAACCAGTTTGCTGGTGGCAGACATGGTAAAGGAGGAGGAGTCTAACAATTGATCATTAATGTCCTGATGGCTGTTTGCTATTCACAGGGGTCTGAGTGATACTAGCAATAACAGCATTGTAAGAAACTGACAAATGGACACGGAGGCCTCCACCCCTGTTTAATGATGGACGGTTTCTTTTCACAAAGATGGCCTCCTTTACTCTTCTCTCAAACCATCGTTCCTCTCTGTCCAGGATGTGAACATCTTCATCCCTGAAAGAGTGACCGCTGGCCTGGAGATGAGTGTAGACCATAGAGTCCTGGCCTGATGATGTTGCTCTTCTGTGCTGGACCATCCTTTGGGCCAGTGGCTGTTTAGTTTCCTCGATGTATGACTGATCACCCTCCTGACACTGAACAGCATACACAATATTACTCTGTTTGTGCTGGGGGACTGGATCTTTGAGATGGACCAGTTTTTGCTGTAATGTGTTTTGGGGTTTGAAAGCCATGAAATGTAATTTAGTGGCTGTAGAACTTTGATGAAGCACTTCTGGTGCAGCTGGCACCACGGCGTGTCAACATATCTTCATATTTCTGCTGTAATAACTCTGTAATGTGATGAAATGCTGAAATATTCAAGATTAGAGTTTTTAAGGAAACAGAAATATATTTTGCTCGTCTCATTCAGTTGTTAGCCATTAGCTATTAGACATTAGCTTTAGCTGCTCAGACATTAATGTCTGTTTCTTCGAACTGAGGCTGTTCAAAGGGCTATCTACAACAGGTAAGATATTAATTGTTCATAACTTTTCCACTGAACCCCATTCCAGAAAATTTGAACTATTGTTTCATACTTTGAAAGCTGCTATATTTTACGTTTTTCTTTTTATTATTCATGCTGAACATTTTGCTCTGACATCAGCAAGTGCAATATATTACAAACACAGAGCTATCTACTGCAGATGTGTGAGAATGTTGATAAATCTGCATTACATTATTAAGTTGTTTATCAAAATCTTGAAACTGGTCGAGTCATTTGTGGTATTAACATGTGACATGAACCGATGTCATGATAGACTGGGGTATTTTATTTTGTAATGTCATCCTGACATTTCCTAAAAATGTGGAAGCAAAAAGCATCACAGTTACAACACGACAAGGAAGCTAAAGAAATAAAGTTCTGCTCTCGTAACTTTATGCACTTTCAATTTAAGAAAGCTCAGATTCAAATAATTTGAACTACAGATGGAACATTTTTAAATAATTGGGCTTCCTTTTGGCTTTGAAGCAAATTGGGCAAAAGAAACGAGTGTCTAATAAGTAAAAAGATTCCTTAAATGTGCCAAAAGATTATTCAAGCCACTACACGAAGTTGCAAAAACCTGGTTGGGCACAAATTAATATAATGAATTAAATGAAACGAAATTCTCCTCCCACGTTTATGACTAATAAGTCTCATTTTGTCCAAAAGTGTTGAATGATCACCAACTGGATCAGCTCAGTTACATTTTTAGACGCAGCATGAATCACAAACACACACCAGGGGCTGAGTCAAATGCACACTCACACACACACACACACACACACACTTATGCATGTGTCACCATTCAGTTGAATGTCCAACTAAAAAAAAAAAAAAAAAACTAAAAAACTCATGACTGAGGTACTGCTGTCTCAAACATCACATGCTTGACTAAAACATTCTCCAATTTTTGAACACTTTATATTAAAAACATCTTAAAGACATCAAACTGAGGAGCAAACAAACTTCTGTTTCTTGACAAATGTCTTTTTCTCATGAAGACTATAAATTTTGTGTTTATGGCCTCAGATAGCCTAATGTTATCACATGGCTCCAACATGGTCTTTAGCGCCCTCTGGTGGACATAGAGGCCACTTTGTTCTCTAAATGTGCAGAAAGGCAAAAACACATTAAAGATCTTGATTCATTCTCTCCTTCTCTAATGGTTTATATCAGCATTGGAGTAAAATATGCAGATTTCCAGACTACCCACTGGTCCACCTTGCAAACAGATAAACTGGTGTGTGTTTTAAATGCAGCCAAGGCTGGTAAACTTACTGCAGAGTTCAGAGCTGCACCATTACTTATCCCCTTTCATCTCATCTCACTGGTGCCTTAGAGACAGAGACAGGAGTAGGTTTAGAAAGATGAGGGCTGGAGTCAGAGGAGGAGGAGGAGGAGGGGGAGGCAGACGGCTGAATCTCTCTCTGTCTCTCTCTCTCTTGCCCCAGGGGTGTGTGCTGCTGCTGTTGGTCTCTCTTTGTCTGAAGACTGATTACCATAAGAGCAAAGGGAGTAAAAATGAATTGCGTTACTCGATGAAAGCATAAAAGAATGGCTCAAAATGCTAGAATACAGTCAGTTCTTTGGATCATTGTTAGTTGTTGTTTTTTTTTTTTAACAAAAAAGAAAACCATTTAGTCTAGTACCAAGTAAGGCACCCTATTGAATATAATTCTAATTTAAACTGTATTTTTTTTAAAACAATAGTCAAAATATGGACATTTTCTGAATGCTCTGCTGCTCTCAAGTGGCCTAAAAGAAAACGTACAGTAATGTTGCTTTAGTCCCAGTTATATTTAATATTTTGCAGTAAATCTAACTCACCACCTGATGGCACAGTCATCAAAACTGGCTGAGGGCTTCTGATTTTATTTTCACAAAGGAAATGTTTTAACTATCCATTTACAATCAGCAGTATGATTAGCTCCTATAGTTGTAATAATAACTGTTTTCTTAGCTCCATGTGTCATCAGTGTCAGTGAGATGATGAGGAACCAGACCTTCCTCCTGCTCTTGTTTCTGCCTTCAGGGTGAAAATCTCTTGGAATTCCTGGGTGGAGACGAACTTCCTCAACAGTTGTTCCTTCCTCGTTGACTCAAGCTGAAAAACACTCAGCTTCAATTTAATTTTAGATTCAAGAACTCTTATAGAATCAGGGCTGTGTTTTATTCAGGAAATCTGCAGAGCAGTTTTTTTTGGTTTTTTTTCACACTTCTGCTATTCTGTTTAGCAGAGATCTGAACACCCATTAGATGCTGCTTTTGATGCATGTTAATACATTTTTAAACCTTGGATTGTGCTTGACATTTTCTCAAGTCAACACATTTATTAATTAATTTGGGTTGGCTTACTTTTTAACCAAGTCCATCATTATTTTAGAGGACGGGTGTCCAAAGTGCAGCCCGAGGGCCATTTTGCGGCCCTTGGAGTGATTTTGTGCGGCCCACAACTACAGTTTAAGATGGTATTATTTTGGCCAGCAGGCTTAAGGGGCCAATGCAGACTTTCTGCATATTAGTTGGTAATCCTTTTTTATATAATGTTTAGGTTTAACAGAAAAACAGACAAAAAACAATCTTCTCAAAAAGAGCAATATTAAGCAAAATACAAACTTTTGGCTATAATCTTTGTATTTTCACTTCATGGTACAAAGCACCAAAAATATTTACTGATTTCTACCAGAAAGGAGACTTTTGGATAATGATTCATAAAACTTGGATAAATATTGCAGATGATAAAATAATCAGGAGAGAAATTGGACATTTTTAAATGAATATAATGTGGTGTCATCTGCGTACGAGTTGATCAACTTTATCAAACCTTCTATGAATCTGTTGTAGCGACTGACATCTAGATGATTTTTCAGAACTTGGATCAGACTTTTGGGCCGTCCATGGTCCAAAAGGCTGATCGACCCCCTTTTAAAAACTCAAATTACACTTTTGTTGCTGAGAACAGACTAAAATGAAACACAAGAAAACAACAAACGTAGACCCAACATGTCAAATAAATTAAATTGTTTTTAATAAAGAATATAAGCTTAGTGTTTATGAAGCTTTTAATGTTTTGGGTGTACAACTATTTAAAACTTTCTCCACCAAAATTAGGAATTTCTCCAAAATATTGTTCACGTTGAGAGTTAAATTCACATTTTTGTGGCCCGCGAGTCCTTTCATCTGGATAGTTTTGGCCCACATATAAACGTTTGGACACCCATTTTAGGTATTTTTCATTAATTAATTAAATTTTTGCTGTCATCAATTTAATCTCATACAATGTTGTTATTCAGTGAACCAAGAAAACTTACAACATGAAAATCCTTTACTAACCTTATATTTTAACATGTTCTGCAGTTGAACTTCGGTGTTTCGAGCCAACGTTTTGATCAGAATCAGGAACAATAAATTTATTCTCATTTTTATCTTTATGGATGATGCCTTCCTGTTCAAAGATCAAACAAACAATCTGAGGCTTAACATGGGCTCAAACAGCAAAACGAGTTCCTCAGAACTTCCAAAAATAATGATAAAATACACTTGTTATGGCACTAAATGAGGGAATAATCAGAAAATATGCTTTCTGACTTGTTAAACTGAGTATTATACATGCTGTCAGGAGAACTCTGTGTTAGATATTTTATAAAGTATTGTGTTGCTCACCAATCACAGACCAATTCAGACAGTTCGAGGTAATAAAAATGGACTTTGCTCCTTAACGCCTGACATCATGTGCAGGGCTTGTGATGCAGCGGAACGGTCTCTGGTTATCATCGCAGGGAGCAGACGCATCTGTAAGGTAACGATTCTGCTGAAAATAACTTTTAGTTCCTCAAAGCTTAACTGCAACTTTAATCCCTTGCACTGTTGTTGAACAGCATCACATCCTCTCATGAGTTCAGGGATTAGTAGACAAACAAAAAAAACAAGGTGCTAAAACGATCTTGAATAAGCTTTAACAGCTAAACTGCAGCAAATGTTTATTTATTCTGTTTACTGGCTGATGTTCTTTGGAAGCTTTGTCCAGCTGTGAGGTGACCATGGAGTGGGACAGGGCCCTGAGGCGCACCCAGTCACTGAAGAGCATCCCGTCGTCATGTGACAAGCCCACCTGGATGGATGCAGGACTACGAGATAAGACAGCTTCGGTGTCCCAGTTAGTCGCCAGGTATGAGAAACATTGTTTCCCGCCGTCTTTAAACTTGTATTTAAATACTGCAGTAAATCTGTTCTGGTAAATTTGTGTATGTAGGTATCAAACCACTGTGAAAAAAAACACAATCCGCCAATCAGCTCCAGGAGAAACAGAAGACAAAAAGACAAAGGAAGGGTTAGATGAGGTAACTCTGTTGCTCGTGCGTTTGTATATTTGAAAAAAAATAATAATAATCAATTTGGCTGCACGCAATTTTCCCTGTGTGCATCCTTTCCAGAAGACTTCCTCTCCTCTGCAAGTTCCAGAGACTCACCTGGAGTCCCTGATGAGGAGAAGCAAAGAGAGGGACCAAACTCAAGCCAAAAGCAGTTTGCCCCGCAGTAAATCTATGGGCAGCCTTCAAACCAGCACAGCGTCCATAGAGGCCCTTAAAGCTGTGTTTGAGGCCGACCCACCAGCACAGAGGAAAGTCAAGAGCAGCTTTAAAACTGCTAAAGTAACATTAAGTCCCACCGCAGACATGCCTATGATGAATGGAGAGGCTGTGTATGTGCAGAAAGCTGCAGAGGAGCAGAAAATACCTGCTGGAAACAAGGCTAAAAAGGAGGCGAAGGAGGATTATGTGAACCAAAAGGTAAATAAAATCACTTTTTAAATACAATAACAATCAATGAGTTTTGTTTTTATATACCGTATTTCTTGGACTATAAGGCGCATTAATCGAAACAAAACAGTCAGATAAGTCAAAAATTATTCAAATCATTCACAATAACCACATAAAACACCCGTTTCGGATGTTATCAACCATTAAATGGCCGTTATTCATTTAATGGACTGAAAACATCCGAAGCGCTCGAACAAACACGATTCAAATTATATGTTTTTCCAAAGCTTAGGTGGATATCTTTACTTATTTCACACGTTAAATACAATATTTAAAACTAGAAACTAACATTAAAGTGGGCTATATCTAATTTTAAGCATAATAAAAAAAATAAGTTTGGACAATGTAGAGCGTAATAAGTATCACATTTATGCAAATTTCAAGTTTTAATTTAATTTGTTTCCTCCTTTACGACCCATTTGCCGTATATTTTAGACTATAAGGCGCACTTAAAATCCTTTAATTTTCTCAAAAATCAACAGTGAGCATTATAATCCGGTGCACCTTATGTATTAATTCTGGTTGTGCTTATTGATCTTGAACCAATTTTATGTGGTACACGGCGCTCAAAAATATGTCATAATGAACTTGTTTCTCTTAATGCGCCTTATAGTCCGAAAAATATGGTAATTCAAAATGTGGGTTGAAGAATGCAGAAACTTATTTTTTACAGACACATTTTCATTATTTATGCATATGATGCGTCGCTTTTCTGATGCAAATGCAACTCTTCCTGTGCTTACAATGCACAAATAAAAACTTAAATTGAAATAAAGCTCTAAGATTTATTAAGCTCAATAATCTTTGGTGAAGTTGATTTTGAATTATTTCTGCAAACAGCAATAAGTGCTACAAGAAAAACCCAGCCTGTAGGCTATATTGTATTTATTTACAATCATACAAACCTCCTGGACATTTTAAAGCTCCAGACGGACAGAAAATGTGGTTGTGTTTATGCATTTTTAGAAAACGTTCATAAAGTTCATCAGAACATTTATGAAACAAAGAAAAATCAGTGACACAAACTCTATAATGAAAGGCTAATTTGGGGTTTACTTGCTGATAACTTATTATTTTTCTCTCCAGTTGAACCAGAACCAGATGGAGAAGAGGAAGACAGTAGCGGGTATTGATTTTGAAAAGCTAGCAGAGTCTGAAGCCGGTGAGTTACACAAAAAAATGTTTTATTCCCAGTTTAACAATGTGAACTGTCTGTAATGAAACACAAGAAATGTACATTTATACAGATCTTCTTGATTAGTTGTCAGCAGGAGTTAGATTTAAACATCTGTACAGTTTGAGGAGGGAATTCTGTCTGGCAATGAAAATAAACAAAAAAAACTCATGAACAAGTTACAAAATGAAAACGTGAACAAATGGAGACACAATCGGGTCAAAATCCATTTGATAAGGCCGAGAAATACAACACACAACCAGGCAGCAGGGTAATAAGGAAACTGGTTCTGGCAGCGTTCCATCCATCCATCCATCCATCCATCCATCCATCCATCCATCCATCCATCCATCCTGAGACAAACAACCATCCACTCTCACTCACACCTAAGGACAATTTAGAGTTAGTAATCAGCCTAACATGCACGTTTTTGGTCTGTGGGAGGAAACTGGAGACATGCACGGAGAGAACATGCAAACTCCACCCAAAAATGTCCCCGGTCGGGATTTGATCCGGCGACCTTCTCACCGAGAGGCAACAGCACCAACTGCGCCACCGTGCCGCCCCTGGCATCATTCCCTCAACTAAAATAAAAATTTTGACTCTATGAACCGTAATAAAACTCATTATAGATTTCAATAAATGAATAAAGTTCAAAGCTGTGGATGATATTTATATATAAATAAAAAAAAAAAAAAGATATATCTCCACACTTTGACTTTGCAAAGAGCTGTGATTGACTCCACCTGGTGTGGGTCAGAGGGTCACTTCAGAGCGGGACAGAAATAGCTGCCACACTACAAGTCCTGAATAAGCACGAGGGCGCTGGGAGGGTCAGCTGTGTCCGAGACAGAAACAAAAAGCTCCCGAGCGAGGCAGAAGCGTTATGGCAGGAGTCACACCAAACAGGCAAATTAACTCATTTGACACAGATTTTCAAGAAACAGAGAAGAAAGAGTTTGAAGAATCAGGAACTGATCATCTTCTGTGAGTATATTTTGACTCAAAATGATGAATATCTACTCATAAATAATAGTAAATAAATAAAAACATTAGGATTAATGCACAAAATGCTGAACACTAAAATCTAACATGCTATTCTAAATCTAAAGAAAAATATATATTTTTGTTCTACTGACATTATTTTCATTTTTAACAACTGTTTAAAAATTTCAAGTCAAAATTCTGAGTAAATGTTTGACCTATTTTAGCTTAATTAAAAATGTCAGTGATTTTGATTAATTCGTTTATTAGCCGCCTTTCAGCGATAAGGTTGCCGGTTCAAATCCCAGTTCGTGACCTTTCTGGGTGGAGTTTGCATGTTCTCTCCGTGCATGTGTGAGTTTTCTCCGGGTACTCCGGTTTCCTGCCACAGACCAAAAACATGCATGTTAGGCTGATTGGTAACTCTAAATTGTCCCTAGGTGTGAGTAAGAGAGAGAATGGTTGTTTGTCTCTATGTGTCCCTGGGATGGACTGGAGACCTGTCCAGGATGTCCCCCGTCTCTCACACAGTGATGGCTGGACATGGGCACCAGTGACCCCCCCTGACCCGAAAAAGGAAGGAGTTAATGATAATTTTATGTAAATATTAAAGATAATGGATGGATGGATTGATGGATGAAAACAGTATCACTTTGAACTTTAATGTTTATTTTATTATAAATAATGTGACCTGTTTAAATCCCTTTACAGTTCATTATTTAACATATTCTCCAGTAATTTAAGAAATTGTGACTGCTTGAAATAAATCTTCAACTTCTTGGGGGGGAAACAAAAGTATATATGTGTTTTTTTGTTAATCTACCCAACATTCTGACTCATCTCTAAAGACAAGCTGACTAATTATTTTAAACTTTAATTAGATGTGAAATTTGACATTTGTTTAGTCGCTGTCATTTTATCTTACATCACTTTATCCTGACAACTCCCTCATGTAATAACAAGTTAACGTGACAAAAAAGCATAAACACATTTTATGCTTTATAAATGTATAACGCCTTAGTACGGTGGCCCTGAGGTGTAAATGAACATTTGAAAATACAGAATTACATTTGAATAAACGCAACAAATACACAGTATTTGAAGAAGAAGAAAAAAAATGGAATTACATTTGAAAAATCTGAGTTACATTTGAACAAATGGAATTACATTAAACCAAAGCAAAAGTGGCCAAAGTGAAAGTGGCTGAAGCGGAAGTTTCTGAAGCGGAAGTAACCGGAATCACATTTGGGAAAAAAACAAAACAAAAACAGAATTACATTTGAAAAAAAAAAACCACACAAAAAAACGCTATTACATTAAGCCAAAGTGGAAGTAGCCAAAGTGGAAGTGACCAAAGTGGAAGTGTCTGAAGCGGAAGTGGCCGGAATCACATTTGGAAATTGAAAAAAATGGAATTACATAAAGCCAAATCAGAAGAGGTGGTTGGGGATTAGTGTTATTATTATTTTTTTTTATTACTCCTTCATTAACATAAAACTACAGTGGCCCTGAGGTGGTTTGGTTTAATGTAATCTCGTTTTTTCAAATGTAATTCAATTTTTTTCCAAATGTGATTCCAGCCACTTCCACTTTGGCTTAATGGAATTCTGTTTTTTCAAATGTTGTTCATTTACACTTCAGGGTCACCGTACCTTAGTGCTTTAAAATGCAACACATCTATCTAAGATCAAACGACTCGTGCATCTCACCACTGATTTACCACTGCGTGTGCACTTCTACAATCATGCTAGATGTTTACTTTGTGCTCCTCTGCACTCGGCTGCAGCTTCAGTGACTCACGGGTCCTGAAACTCTCAGTATGTGCGTGAGCGGAGTCAGGTGTCTGTCCTGCTCCACCACAAGTCGACATTTATAACTCCGCCACATGACAGCTGTTAGGTGTCACTAATTACTTATAAACACTGAACGTTGGTTTAAACAGATTTCACTCAGCAGGAATCATCACTCAATGTTTGAGTACCGGTACAGTTTTTACCTGGTACAAGATACAGTTTGTGTTTGGATGTTTCTGCAGAAGAAAGGAGGAGGACAGTTGCAGACTTTAGAGACAGCGCTTTCATCCAAACCAAAGAGATCCTGTCTGTGTCGGTCAAAGCCATGTCTGCTCTCTACATGTCGAAAGTGGTGACTCAGGACTCCACAAACAGGATTTCCAAGATGGTAAACATCAGTTTTTATAATTGTTTGTTGTCCCCTCTTCTGGAAAGACTGTCTTAAGGGTCAAAGCACTGCATGAACATCAGTGTCTTTAAAGTGTGAGTGTTTTAGAACATTTTTAATTGAGTTAGCAAAGCTTTTTAAAGTTTTTATGGCATTTTTAACTTGTGTTGTTTTTTTATGAGCCAGACGTCAAAAACAATTCTCCATTTCATCAAATGTCATGGACAATAAAGTTATATTGAACTGAATTGACTTTAAAAGACCGATCTTATAACCAAAATGTTATACATTTATTTAAAGTAAACTATAGATACAGTTAGACAGGGAAGGAGATACATTACTGTGCAAAAGTCTCGATTCAAACCTCCCATTATTTTTAGATTTTTTTGAGCAGCTTATCAAGAAAAACACAATTTGTACAAAGTTACATGGAAATCTTGTGATACAGTGAAACACTTATCAGTTCTAAAACATAATTTTAGACATGACATGTCAGAACATTTATGGCCAAACAAAGCAAATATATTTTCAAATAATAAACCTGTATAACATGTAAAAACAAAACAACATATTGACTATTCAACTGGCGGCCCGGGGGCCAAATCAGGCCCATGGGTGAGCTCAGTTCGGCCCACCGATGGGTTCGTTTTGAAATAAAACTAGATTTTAAAATATAAAACAACCTTACTTAATGGGAATAACTGCCTGAGCTCTTGGCTTTTCAGTAACTGAGCAATTTAGTTGGAAATCCCTGAGATATAAAATTAATTTTAAACTCTATTTTTTATGTTAAACAGATCCCATAGTTAACATATTACATGATCAAGTTAGACAAGTTATTATAAAAAAAATAAAGGCTTGAAGAAAATTTTCAGGTCATAATTAAATAAAATTTCTAAATATAGAAACCATGAAGAAAGCGCTGTTTTGCAAAACACATAATTTGCTAAAAAGTCTGGCAGCCAGAGCAGCATGTTTATCTAATATGAACCTGATACGTGTTTTTGTTGTTTGTTTGTTTGTTTGTTTGTCCCCACATTCAGGAGCAAGATCAGACACAGGAATTTGAGAATAAGGCGAAACTCACCAAGGTAAAGCAGTGCATCGTCAGATTATTTGCATCACGGTGCGGTTGGTGAAAGTAATCCATGCAAATGTGGTTTGGATTGCTTTAATTGCTTTAACCTCTACCTCAGAGTTGTTTCATGTCTCACTAAAACCAAATGGGTGTTTTGTTGTGAGAACTAAATGTTTAACCAGTTCCGTGATTGCATTAGCTTTTTTGCTTCTGGACTTCACCCAACCTACTTACATCGGACATGGATTTGCAGCAGTTCTGAGTGATAACATGACTTTCATTCACCTGTTTGCCAATTCTGGAGCATGCCTTTCACTGGCTGGTTAATTCCTGTTTAAAAGAGTGGAAATAGTAAGCGCATTACTTTGTTCTTCTAAGATGGAAGAAGACTCCCAACAGAAGATGGACGACCTTCCTTCACTTCAACCAGAGACACATGAAACAGGACTAGAAGATCTTTCTGGAGATCCTCTTCAGCAATGCCAACTTTCTAAACAAATGTACCAGCAGAGGCAGAAGAATGAGCTGAGAAGGCTCCTGAAGCACACTCACCCAGAGCTGAAGACACTGGATGATGTGGACAAAGAGTTTGCTGATGTTTTGAGCTCAGAAAGGGCGACAGTTGACGATACAACTGGATATGAGGGTGAGGTCCTTTCAAGACGCTTGATATTTGAGAACCGAGGCTCCAGTGTGTCACCTTATACCCCAAAGATCCATATGGCACAGGGAGCAGTGGGAAGATGTGATTGTAGTAAAACACCGACTATTTCTGAAAGGTCAAAGGAGGAACCTCTTGTTGAAAGTGTTACTGACGTCATGGAGAATGACAATTCTCTTGATTTAAGGCTCAGTTTTTACAAAGAGACAGAAGAAGAGGTGACAAGAGTAGACGTTAAAGCCGCCAGGAGTATATTTGAGAGTCAGTCCGGGACAAATGTAAATAAAATTCAAGGAAATGTTTCTAACGAGAGAAAGACAGTCCAAAAATATGACAAACTGTCTGAAACAACCTTGAGAGAAAATGTACATGACATTAACAGAAATACAAACACCAATTTTGAAGAAAAACATCAAAAGCCATGTGGTCATGTCAGTCAAAGAACTGAAGCAGACTTTTCTGGTAGAGGCTTTCATAGCGATGAGGCCCTCTTTGAGGACAAGTTCACAAGTTCAGATTCAGAAAGTCACGGTGAAATAATAAAAACAAGTGCATCTCTTTTCCAAAATAACCCTTTCATTTCCACAAACATTGAACAGGAGCATTCATATGGGCACACATCAGAAACTCATAATGAAAAAAGTGCAGCAGGTGAGGACTGTTTAATAGCCAATGTAAAGGACAGAACCCATCTGTTTGAATCAATGCCTTTTGACAAAATTAGGCATCAGAACAGGGATGAACTTGAGATGATGGTGGAAATTATTAAGGAAACTCTGACTTTTCTCTATCAAGTAAAAGCTATTCAATCAGCGGGGTCAATTATTGAAGTTAACGAGACAATGATTGCTAAAAAGGCTAAATTCACATTATCAGAGCGTGGACCTGAGATAAACTATGATGAAGTGGCTCAAGGTGGTGCTCAAAACTTCATTCTCCAGTTGCTACCACGTGTAAACTTAAAACCACAGATCACTTACCTAAAGGAGGATAGTAAAGGGGCTATGGAAGCCACCATGGTGGATGTTCTGGTTCACCATCGTCAGGTAAACCCAAAGAAAAACACTGAGTTCAAAACTGCCAATGTGGTTCAGCTTGTTGAGGATATTCTCAATCAAGACAACTCTCTGAGGAAAGGAGTGATCATTCAAGAACATGCCAACAACTGTGCTGAAGTCATTGTTTATTCCCTCTACAAGTACCTGGATGGAGAAGAAGTGAAAAGTTACAGCCCTCCAAAAAGTGCAGATTATACTGAAACAGAAAGAGACTGCATGACAAATGATAAAGAAACAAGAACACGTCTCACAGCATCAACCGCAAGGAGCCCTCAAGAAACCACAGTAGACCAAACCAGTTCAGGGTCAATCAGGCCAAACGTGAAGGTAAATGTAAAACTCTTCACTAGCTGTATTGAAAAAGGTGACCTGGAGTGTTTAAAAACTCTTCAAGATGATGAACCAGCAGTTCAAATGAATGAGCTTTCCCCAAACCAAGCAGTCTTGGAACAGAATGACGACTCTCTTCATGAACAAAGAAGCAATCTGGCTCAAGATGATGACCCAGAGTATGTTCCAATGAGCGTACAGAGACTTAAAAACATGTTCAATGAAGATAGAAGTCCCATCCTGGCCAGCTGTACTCCATCTACCAGTATTTCTAATACATCATCCAAAAAATCAGAATGCAATATTGAGGCATTCTACCATCAACAACCAACTAATAACACCTTTAAGGAGAACGAAGATCAAGAAGCTAAAAAACATGTATCACATGCTCATGATGACAGTGTTCACCAAGATGAAGTGGCAGCAGTATTAGATGACACTGATAATGTTTCTGACTGCCGAGCTGCAATCCAAAACCTACAGGTCACAAAAGAGGCCAAATTGTTTCATCGCTTGTCGCAGAATACAGAAAAAACCTGTATGGAAGAATCTTTGGAAAAACCCACTAAAACAGCAGGTAAGAGATTGCCTCAAGAAGATATGGACCCACAAATGGAATCATGCAATAACATTAGTTTGAATATCCCATTAGTTTCAGATGTTGCCTTGGGACATGAGTTAGACAAACACACTAACACAGACCGATGCCCTGAAGACGACAATCCAGAGAAAATAAAGACTACCGAGATACGCAGCAAGAAGAGTCAAGAATATGCAGAAACTGATCAGAAACTACATGTTCAATCTACTGTCGTTTCTTTATCTAGTTCAGAAAAATCACCTGCACCAGAAGAAGAGAAAGTCGTTTTTCAGGGTAAACTTCAAGCAGCTTTGAATTCCTTGGAAAAGTCCAATATCAATGTCGCAAGAGGAGATTTTAAAGCTGCTATGATATACAAAAATTCTTCCAAATCTCCTCAAAGAATGTCACAAAGTGACAAAAACCCAAATACTAAAGAGATTTGCCCGGTGGAAGAACAAAAATCAACTCAAGTCCCACCAAATCAAGAAGTGACTGGAACAATGCCTAAGTCCACTACAGGTTCTGTTTCACAGAAAAGCATACGGCCCACTGGTCCAAAGCCACCTCTTCCACTCAAGCCTGAACATCTGAAGAGAAAACAAGGAGATGATCTGCTGGCAGTCACAAGGAACCCAGAGGCAGCCCAAAGTAGTACTGTAAGAACCAAGGAAACAGTTCCCCAAGATCACCAATCATCCACAACTGACAAAAAGCAACACCTGTTCACATCAACCAATATGGTGACAGATCACCACACTAACGAGGTTTCAGGTAACAACACACTGGTGTTCCAAAAATCAGAAGTGAAGAATGAAGTTCAAGTTTCAACTGAAGCCTTCAAAACTGATGAAACAGATAAAATCATTAGCAATAAACAGCTGGAGAGAAGTGCCACGGGAAAGGAAAACCTTCCACAATGCACATCAGGAAAAGACATAAACGAAACTGATGAAACCCATGTAAACTTTCATGAAGCACGTCATGCATTTGAAGGTAAAAAGCTTTCTTTAGGTAAGACTGCCCCAGTAAAACCAAAAAGAAAAAAAGTTGCCCACTTTGACAACAAAGAGCCAAAAGGTCTTCCAGGAGGCACCTCTAGAGATCCACCTGTTTCAGCACAAGTGGATCAAAAAACGGTTCAAAGCCAAGTCAAGATGAGGGAAAAGAAAGGACAAACAGAGACCGAGGACGAATGCAGACTGCGACTTTCTGTGCACATGGATGAAATCATGAGAGGGAACATAACGACGGCCATGGAAATTTTTGACAACTTGCGAAAGCAAGAGCAACTGCAGACTATTCTCAGCCGAGTTGAAGAAATTGAACAGGATACAAGCGGCGTTGACGTGAAGTCTCTGAGGAGAGCGTTTGAGAATGTCCCTGATTGGGTTGTCAGCTCTGACAGCAAAAAACAGAAAAGAGTCAGACCAGAAAATAATGAAAAACCAGAGCAGTTACCAGTAGAAAGAACAGAAAGCATGTCCTCGATGGAACATGTTTATGGAGATCTTGCCCGCGCTAGTGAGGAAATCATAAACCTAAAGGAGCAAACTTTAGCCAGACTTAAGGACATAGAGGTTGCCATTAAGAAGGCACTTTGTTCTGTGTCTGCTCTGAAATCAGACTCAGATATTGCAGATTTATCTAGTCTTTTCAAAGAGTCTTTAGGACATGTCCAAGGACCTTGTTCTTCTGGCAATGTTGGCGAAATTGGTCTCAGCTCCAGCAGAATGAAGTCACAAGAAGCACAGCAAAGTTTCATCATCCGAACAAACCCAAATGCACAAACTGCACAATACGCAAGCACTGCAACACCCTTTACAAAACAAAGTCCTCCGTCTTCACCTGGATGTTTCTCCGTTCAGTCAGCAGCTGGAGAGATGGATAAAACGGTGCCTCCTGAAATGTCAATGAAGGGTCAGACAGGTTCAAAGCAGGAGGAAAGATATCGAGCAACAAAGACGCTGATATGCAACAGCCCCGCTCAGAGAAAAGAAACAGACCCCAGAAAAGATGGGGAAGAACAATCATACGGTCCGCAAAATGTCAACCGAGAGCTCAGTGTGACGGCGGTGCAAACTGACAGTGAAGGGAATGTCATTGAAACAAAAGCAGTGATGGAAAACTATGAGAGGACCAATGAGTTTGGTAACAAGGTTTATACATCGAAAACCTCCACGATCCTCCCGACTGAGCCATAATCTGCAACAAGATGGGAAACTGTGTCCAATCCATGAACATGTCAGGTCTCCACATGTCCATAGGTTCATAAATACACAAGGGTTGGATGTTCCTATACACTGCCATGTATGAAGATTTACTTTTATGACACTGAGCTAGCTTCTTTGGTTGTTTGTCATCAAGTTTCTTATTACTTTTAGATGTTCTTGTCCATTTTATCTGTTTTCTGGTGTACTTTATTTTGGTGGCTCTTAGACTGAGGAAGTCGATGAAGGATGAAACGTCTCAGCAAAAAAAAAAAAAAGAAACTTTCCAGATGACCATGAACATTGTTGGATTTTATACCTGGATTATTGAGCATGAACTTTGGTGTTTTGAACCACTTTGGCATGACTATCAGAGGAGTTGATGAGGGAGAGGGTGGGCCCCGGAGGAGAGGGCGGGCCCCGGAGGAGAGGGTGGGCCCCAGAGACCATTGTAGCACCAGCAAACTGTTTTTCCCACTATGGAGTATGCTGTTTGTGGGAATCAGTTTTGTTTGGTGGCTTCTTGGATTGAGGAAGTCCTTTGGATGAAGAATGAAACGTCTCAGCAAAAATAAAAAAGAAACCATCCAGATGACCTGACTGAACATTGTTTGATTTTTTTACCTGGATTTTTGAGCATGAATACTTCAAATATATTTATTTAAGGTTGTGTTGAATTCATTTTTGAAATTTTGGGAAATTATTTTCCTCTCAAAAAATATTTGTAATTCATTATTTTCACAGAAAAAAAAAAAGTATTTGTTTGACTTAAACTCAGTCTCGTTTGTCTCATCAGTTTCAACCAGCCTGTCGAGAGATGTGCTCAGCCTGTCTGAAGCCAGTTTATCAGATGGAAAAAATTGCAGCAGACAAATACATTTTCCACAAAGTGTGCTTCTGCTGTAAAAAGTGCAAGAAAAGATTAAGGTGGGATATTAAAATATTCATGAAAAATCTCCATCATAGGTTTCAACAAACGACCTTTTACCTATTCTATTACTTTCCATGTGACTTTTTAAATGAATTTTTATTTTAACGTCTAACTTTGTTTTAGTCCAAATAGCAGATAATATTTGTTATAAAATGTTGTGTTAGATGTAAAACTGGAACCTACAGGTATATTTGTTGTAATATTTTAGGCATGCATATTAAAATTCAAAAATTGACAAAAAAAATGAACAAATATTTAAAATATGAATTAGCTGCAAATGTTTCTTCCTGCTTTAGGTAAATAATAATTATTATTATTATTTTATATATATATATATATATATATATATATATATATATCAGTCAGTCAGAGTCAGAGTCAGAGTTTCTTTATTGTCATTCGCACCTCATGTGGTACATGTGGTGGAGCGAAATTATGTACACAGGGTCCCAGTTACATCCAACAATAAAATGTATAAGAAAAACAGTAATAACATCTAAGATATGAACTAAGAAAAACATCAACTAAATTTACACTAAGCACTCATAACATAAAACATTGAACATCACCACAAACATGAACATGAGTCTGTGAGCAGATGTGCACGCATGAACACATCAACATTGAAACAGATCAGCAGCAACATGAAACAGATTTTCACAGTGATTATTCTAGTTAGAGATTCAAGAGTCTAACAGCCTCAGGGTAGAAGCTGTTCCTCAGTCTAGTGGTTCTACACTTAATGCTCCTTAACCTCCTTCCTGAGGGGAGTGGGGCAAAAAGTGTGTGTGCTGGGTGGGTGGGGTCCTTCATGATGCAGGTGGCCCTCTTCCTGCATCTGGAGGTGTAGATGTCTGTGATGGTGGGGAGACTGATTCCAACAGATTTCTGTGCAGCCTTCACCACTCTCTGCAAAGCTTTTCTTTCTGCAGCTGTGCAGCCTCCATGCCACACATTGATGCTCGAGCACAGGATGCTCTCCACTGCACACCTGTAGAAGGAGGTGAGGACTGAGCTTCCCAGACCAGCTCGCCTCAGCCGTCTGAGGAAGTAGAGTCTCTGATGAGCTTTCTTGATCAGGCTGGTGGTGTTGTTGCTCCAGCTGAGGTTGTCATTCATGTGTACACCCAAGTACTTGTAGCTGGAGACCACTTCCACCGCAGATCCTCTTATGTTCAGGGGGGTGTAG